ATTTATAGCAGAAATACAGAATGAAGCTTTCCCATTGGGAGTAAGATATTTATCTCACCTAAGGTGAAATTCCCTGAAGTCTTTAATGTAACAAATTGAGAATAAAGGACATCATCAAAATTCTACATGTTGGATTTTTCCCAGAGTTTTTCTCACTTTGTGGACCTGAAGAGAGATTAAATACCACATCTTCTCTCTTGAAGCTGCAAGCCAAAAAACTACCCAAATCTCTCTTCTCTTTCACTCTTACCAACTCCACCTTGGCTCCCTATCTAATTTTCCACCCACAGGTATGGGGCATTGAGTAATCTGGCTCCATTCTATCTCCATCAACAACTGGCCCTTTGAGCTAAGGGTTACACTAGAAAAAAACCGTCTGCCCTGTAAACAATAATCCCCCCAACCCTTGCTCTGTGTCCAACCCTTCTGACTGGGCTCTAAAAGGTAAGTTATATTCATAAACTAGACTAGGGTGAAAATTTGATTCTTGGAGGGGAAAGTGATCAGAACTCAGGTCAAAATTCCTTTTCTGATGCTGAAGCTAACAAGGGCATTTCTGTAACCAAGGTATTGAAAGGCAATCCAACTCAAGCGGGCAGGACCTCAGATGTAAAGAAGATAATAGAGGTGAACAGTTAAATAAGAAAATAGTAAGACAAGATGAACCTACCACTAGGAATGTACCTCAAGGAGACTAGTGACAATTAACAGAGGTCCTATATACAATATTATTACTTATACAATTCTTTGGGAAGCAACACCACCCCCCAACCCTAAAACTAAAAACAAAATGGATGTATATCAAATGAAAACAAGATGGGAAATGGCTGAATTGTGCCACATGAATGCAATGGAATGTCACAGTACTATAAGAAACTATGAATATGAGGAAGTCAGAGAATCATATGAAAAAAGTGTCACTGGCGTATAATACAGCTACCTTGAGCAGAATGAAGAAATAGAGATCACAAGGCATCCAAATTCTTAGAGGAGAAGTTGAGGGAGTTATTGGAAAATGCTATCCACATCCAAAGGAAGAACCATGGAGTTTGAATGCAGATCGAAGCATACTATTTGCTATTTTTTTTCCTTCTGTTGTGTTTTGTTTCCTCCTTCTGGTGGTTCCTCCTATTAGTTCTAATTCTTACTTACAACATCACTAATGTGAAAATATGTTTAATAGGAATGTATATGTATAGTTTATATCAGATTGTGTACCGTCTTGGGGAGGGAGATGGGAAAGGAGGGGGAGAAAAATTTAACACTCAAAACCTTATGAAAGTTAGTGTTGATAAACCAAAATAATTTTTTAAAAAAAGAGATTACAAGGTTAATATAAAAGCATGATACAGTATCAAAGGAGGACTTCAGTTATCCAGACATCTGCTAAAGCTCTCTCCCTGCCAAAAGCAGATCATCTAATAAAGTCTTAACTTGCCTTAATAATAATTTCACAGTAAGAAATATCCTGGATCTGATTCTCACCAGTAGAGAGAACCTGGTTACTGGGATGGAAATGATAGGAACTTTAGGAAGAAGTGACCAGAGTTTGGGATAGAGGAGAGAAAATCTGGATATAGTCTGACACGCAGATTAAATCTTGGAGAGCACATTTTAAAAAGTTCAGAGGAAGGACAGATAAGATCCCCTGGACTAAATTTCTACAGAGGAAGTTAGCTTAGGAGTGATGGGAAACTTATGGATGAAATTCTGACGACCCAGTGGGAAATGATGAGGGTAAATGCCAGTTGTCTGAAGAGGGCATTGTTGATGCACAGAGAATTCACCTGCCACCTTTGATTTTTAAATGATACACAGAAAATCTAGGAGTAAGGGCAGGTAACAGGATGAATGTGTTAAGAATAGTATCAGAAGTGCTAAACCTCAGAATGAGCTAATGCTAGGGAGAACCGCTTACAACAACAAAAAGGAATTGTTGTTTTAGCTATACTGTGGGAAGAGGAGGACCAAAGAGGGGACAGAACTACTGTTCAAAGGGGATGGGTGGATGAAAAAAGAAAAAGCAGATTTACATCTTCTTTTCATTTTTACCTTGTCAAGAAGAATGACCCGTTCTGAAAAAGTCAGGACTAAAATGGCTAACAGTTGACATCCAAAATAAGTAAGGTCATGAAATCAATCCAACAAAAAGCATCAAAAAGCACCTATTGTGTTAGGCACTGGGAATACAAAGACAAAACTGAAAGAGTTGCTGCCCTTGAGGAGCTTATTATCTTGTTGGGGCAGACATGTATGTATAAGTGGGTACAAAATACATACAAGGTAATGATAGGGTAGGCACTACCAACTAGAAGACAGAAGATCAGGAAGGAAGGTTAGGGATTCTAAAAAGCAGAAATAAGGAGGGAGTACATTTCAAGCATTGCGGATAGCCAAAGCCAAAGACAGGAGATGGAACATCATATTTGAGGAACAGTAAAGTGTTAGGCTAGATAGACTGTGTGAAGTACAAATAAAGAATAATCTATAATGACGGAAAGGCAAATTGGGTTAGGTCATGAATTTCTTTAAATTGCAAAAAGAGTTTATATTTGTTCTTTAAGGTACTAGGGAGTCACTGAAGTTTACAAAATAGAAGAGAGACATGGTTAGACCAGTATTTTAGGTAAATTACTTTGACAGTAGTGACGAAGATGGCCTGGGGAGAGACTTAAGGCACGGAGGTCATTTAAGAGGTCATTACAATAGTCCAGTTGAGAGCTGATGAGGCCTAAACTAGGGTGATGGCTATCCTTCTAGTGGTGAGGGGAGGAAAACAGACAGATCTGAAAGATGGGAAGAATCACAAGATATGACAATTGGTTGGATATGCAAGATGAGGAAGAGTTAGTTGAGGATGACATCAAGTTTGTGAACCTGGGTGACTTACAAGGATGGTGGAACCTATTTGCCATATCTTAAGTTATCTGCTCAACCTGTTGGTATCCAAATAACCAGCAAATATGACTACTGAACTTACTGGCAATGTTACTGAAAAGATCATGGAGAACAGGGAAGGTACCACAGGATTGGAGAAGGGCAAATGTTCTGATTTTAAAAAAGGGGGGGGGAGATAAAATCCAGAATATCAGCCAACGAATTTTGACTTCAATTTCCAAAAGATATTTAGAATGTACAATTCAATATATGGTCAGTGAACAACTAGAAAAGGAAGCAGCAATCACAAGCCAACAAAGCTTCAAGAATAAGTCACGCCAGAATATTACTATGTTTTGGGAGGACAAGATTACTAAACTAATCAGGGAAGTGCTACAGATATTATTTCCATAGATATTAGCAAAGTATTTAATAATTTGTTATGATATTCCTATGGAAAAGATGGGGAAATGTGGGCCAGGTAATAACACAGTTTCATAACTATTTGAGTGAACAGAGTCAACATTAATGGTTCGATGCTAACGTGGATGGAGAGATCCAGTGGAGTGCCCTAGGGATATGTACTTGGTACTATACTGCTTACCATTTTTATCAGTGACTTGGATAAAGAGATAGGTGGCATACATATCAGATTTGCAGATGACACAAAGTAGGAGGAAGAGCAGGTTGAAGAATCAGGATCTATTAAAAAAAATCTGACAGGCTAGAAAATTTGACTTAAAGGATAAAATTGAATGAGGATCAATGTAAAGTCTTACATTTTGGTCAAAAAATCAACTTCACAATTACAAGGTGGAAAGCATAGCTAGATTAACAGTTCATCTGAAAAAAACTGGGGGATTTTAGTGAACTCCAAACTTAATATGATAGCAGCATGATATTACATTTTAGTGCATTACATTTTAGGAAGGGCATATATAAATTGGAGAGTGTCCAAGGCAATCAGAATGGTGAAGAATCTTGAGTCTGTGTCATACAAGATTCTGTTGAAATGCAGATAGATGCTTAACCTAGAAGGCTAGAAGCAAAGGACAGCTATCTTCCAAGAACATGAAGGGGTACCATATGCAAGAGGGAGAAATGGGCATAAGATGTAAAAAGACACACTTAGACCTAAGAAAAAGGTAAAGGGAGATTATGCCAACTTCCCTGTGCCTAACTATAGTTAATTATGGTATATACATTTCTCCTCCATTAGAATGTAAGGTAAGGGAGAAACTGTTTTCAATTTTGTCTTTGGATACTCAGGACTTAGATACTCAGCACATGGCCAAGCACACAGTAGGAACCTGTTGACTGATTGGCCAGGGATGTCATAGACAGATAGCTTGTCATAAACTCCTCTGGCAGTCTCCTTCCAATTAATCAATAAATGCTTAATAAGCACTACCTGCCAAGTGCTGGGGATACAAAAAGTAGCAAAGGATAGTCCCTACCTTCAAGGTGAAGTCTGTCGACCCCTTCTTGGAACAATGTTTTTTAATATACAAAGTAATAAACATTGGTTTACAAAGGAAACCAATTATATTGGCAGTCAACAGCATTTACTTAAGCTGCCAGCAGGTTCGGTGGACAGACTTGAAGACTAGGTTCAAATTTGATCTCATACATTTACTACTTGTGAGACCCTTGGTTAGTCACTTAACTTCTGCCTGCCTCGGTTTCCTCATCTGTAAAGTGGGGATAATAGCAGCACCTACCTCCCAAAGTTATTGTAAGGATCAAATAATAATTGCAAAAAGCTCCTGGCATATGGTAAGCGCCATATAAATGCTAGCTATTATTATTATCACTATTGCGAGGCACCACGTTAAACGCTGGGAAAAAAAAATAAGCGAAGAAGAATGACAGACCCTGCCCTCAAGGAGCTTACATTCTAATCGGAGAAGGCAACAATTTTTTTTTTCATCCAAGTTCAATAGCCTCCTGCAATCTGCCCAGGGAGCTCATAACCACACCGGGAGGGCGGCTTCGTTGCTCTGGTAACAAGCCCTTCCCCCGCCGCGGGGCGCCGGGCGACACGCACTGGACGCGCATGCGCTGGGGCGCAGCACGGTGGGAGTCTCGCCAGGGTGTGGGTTCCGTTTGCCGGCCACAGACCGTACGCCGGGACAGCCATGGCGGCGGCGGCGGGGGAGGCGGAGGAGGCGCTGTGTAGTTTCGTGCGCCCGCTTGAAAAGCGGGACGGCACGGTGCTGCGGCTGCAGCAGTACGGTTCAGGCGGCGTGGGCTGTGTGGTGTGGGACGCCGCCATCGTCCTGGCCAAGTATCTGGAGACGCAGCATTTCTCGGGCGCCACCGCTGGGACACACGCGCTGCGCCAGAGATCCGTGCTGGAGCTGGGAGCCGGCACGGGCGCCGTGGGGCTCATGGCGGCCACTCTCGGGTACGGGCTGGGTTGCCTCTGGGGATCGCAGGAGGAGTCAGGGGGGGGGTGGGGATGGGGGGGGAAGGTGGGCGGGAGGGAGGCCGGGCCACGGCGCCTATGGGCTGGGAACCTGCGCACGCGCACGCACGCAAGCCCAGTCACGAGCTCTTTGGACCAGACATGGCATCCCGCCCCCTACGCTTACGCAGCTCGCTCTCGCCTTCTCCCAGGACTGGGCGTGGCCTGCAGCACTCGACCCGCCCCCTCCCCGCGGTGGGGGGGGCTGGCTAGACGGCTGGACTGTACCCACTCCTCGCCCCCCCCCACCGCCGGCCATACACGCACATACACACACACAGACTCACTCAGTCATTTAGACTCACATACGTGTGTTTGTACTTCCTTTGTAGGGCAGATGTTATAGTCACAGATCTGGAGGAACTACAGGACTTGCTTAAATTGAATATTAAAATGAACGAGCATCTCATTACTGGTTCTGTACAAGCCAAGGTACTGAAATGGTTTGTATACTCTTTTAACTTGAGTTTAAGAATTGTGCAAATGTAGCTTTATTTAAAGGGTGTCTGTGCTGAAAAATACTTACTCCCTGAGGAAATTGTCTAGTTTTCTAAACTGTGAACTTTTTTAAATTAGAGAAATAAATCTTGATAAATGTATGTCTCTTTTTAAGGGGTGAAGAAAGAAAAGACTATTTCTCTCCACCTGATTACATATTGATGGCCGATTGTATATACTATGAAGAGGTAACTATTCAGTAACCATGAAGCCAGTTTCCAGTTCATTACAGTTCTTTATACAATAGCTTTTTTTTTAAGAAAGTGAATTTCGGGTGTGTGCTACATGTAGTTAGATAACCTGTTTCCAGAAACAAGTATTTGTTTATTTATTTTAAATTTTGTATTTTATTTTCCCCCAATTACACGTAAAAACAATTTTCAACATTTGTTTTTAAAATTGAGTTCGAAATTCTCTCCTTTCTTCCCCACCCCCTCATTGAAAAGGCAAGCAGTTTGATATAGGTTATATATGTGGAAACAAGTATTTATTGATTCTTTGTTGGGTTCCTCCCCTTGTCCCTCATGGAGCCAACAGACTAGTTGGGGAAACAAAACCATTTGTTCAGTACAAACTATATAAAAGTTCAGGGAAAGGAGAGATAACTGGGAGTTGTAAGATAGTGAAAATATATAGCTGTGTATCAAGGCTAATAAGTAAGTGGTGGATCTGTTTTGAAACATTAAGAACTGAATTATCTTTGAAAATGTGATTTATGAATTTTTTGGCTATTCAGAATGAATTAGAATTTTTTAAAATGACATTTAAAGAGCTAAATGTCTATGGAAAAATGATAAATTAGTTTTTTTGAGCCTAGAGTCATGCAGTATTTTTCTTTAAATGGTAGCATAAGGTTTTGTGAGATGCTTATCCTCTGCTTATCCACTAAACGTAGAGCTAACTTGTGATTAAAGTTAAGGAAATGCTTGAATTTGGTGCTATTTTTTAAGGATGAGAGTCAAGAGAAACATGAGCAGATCATGTTTTTTTTTAATCATTTGCTTCTTTCAGTATAAAGAACAACTTTCTTTATTTTTCATTCTTTCCATTTTGACCCCTTAACTAAAGTCATTCAGAATTCTATTTTATAATCAGTGAAACTGAGGCCAATTCACTAATTAGTGAAGTTTGGAGCTTTTATAAGATTTGAGCATATACTGTTACAAAACATACTAGGTAGTTTGGGGAATATAAAGAAGAAAACTCATTTCAGTTATAATTATTTCCAGTTGTAACATTATTTCCTTTTAAACAGTCTTTGGAGCCATTGCTAAAGACTCTAAAAGATCTCAGTGGGCCTAAGACCTGCATCATATGTTGTTATGAGCAACGAACTATGGGGAAAAATCCAGAAATAGAGAAGAAGTATTTTGAGGTAAGTACCTCATTATAGCTGATGACTATAGACTGTGTTGTCATTTATTTTCAAAGCTTGATATTCTCTGAAAAAAAGTGGACAGAATTGTTGTTTTCCAAAAGAGTGAACAGTTAGATTGCTATTCTCAGTATTCATAAATGGTTTGTGGCAGCTAGGCTTAATGATTAGAGCTTGGAATTAAGATGATTTAATTCAAATTCTGCCTTAGACACTTAGTAGTCGTCTCATCCTGGGCAAGTGACTTAACCTGCGCTTTTAATTTTGTTATCTATAAAACAGAAATAATAAAAACACTTAGGTATAGATTGTTGAGAGGTCAAAATGACATAATTTATGTACGATACCCTGCCAATCTTTAAAGTGTTATATAAATGTATTTTTTGAATGTCCTTATATAATTATATAATGTCCTTATAATCTTTCTTGGATTCTTTAACTGAAAAAATGGGGTTACTTTTTTCTTTTGAAAAAATTAATTTCTTAATGGCCTTATGTGTAAAAAAATGATTATTCAAGTTTGTCCAATGCTTGATTAGTAAATATAATGATATCCTCAAAATGAACTTAGTATCTCCAAGAAACAAATTATTGCCAGGAAATTGTTAGTATTGTTGCTGAAAAATGAGAGAGAAAAATCTATTCAAGTAGTCAGCTCAATTCATATTTTATCTCACTTAAAAAACAGTAGTAAACCCATATTTAGTTTCAACTGAACAGGAAATATAAAATTGTGTAAGACGTAGTGTGTTTCTCCTTTTATCCTCTGGGGGGCATATGTGACATGTCTCCTGATTTTTAAAAGAAAGTTTTGTAGATTTCTCTGTTCAAAACAGGTGGGTTTGAGGGGAGCTTTCTACTTCATATCTGGAACAGATTTCTGCAGCTGTTTAAACAAATTTTTCTTACACTGCTGTAAAAGTAGCATTAAACTTGTATAATGGGGTCTGTGTGTATGTAGGCCGAGCACACTCTGAAATTGTATATGATCAAAAAATAATTCAGTGATACATGAGTTCATCCATGTGTGTCTCCTCCACAAATGAATCGTAACCCCCTCAGTACCTTGCTAGATAAGCCCAGATAATTTTTTTTTTCCTGCCAGAGCAACTCATTAAGTTGCTCTGGCAGAAAAGAAGAAGAATTATCTGGGTCCAATCCTCTATGCTGGGTCTTGGAAGAGAGATTTATAGACCATTACCAGTTTTTCCAGATCAGTAGGACCTGCCAGAGCTCATAACCATTTTGCATAGTATTCGAGAGCTCAGGGTCACCTCCATGCCACAATGAAGCTTTGGAACATGACTTTTTATAGGTAACCAGAAAATATCTGATGGTCACATATGTTTCCTGGCTCTCTACGTGGGCGCACACTCATGGAAACTCTCATACACCATACATTAGCTTAAGAAATGAGAAAATTTGCTGTGGTTCTCAAGTTTGAGGCACTCCAAAGTACCATTACCCAAATACATAAATGGACCTGTGATCTGAACATTTCAGAAGTTTTTTTCCAATAAGGCATATCACAGCCCATCAATGCCTGCCCATGCTGTGTGACTGTCCATGTTCTCCCAGAAGTTCACCATGGTGGGGAGGGTAGCACACAACACAGCTGAAGATCAACCAGCAACACCAGGGTACCAGTGAAGTACTTCATTCTTGTCATAGGACCAGTCTGTCTTTTCTTCCTGTCTTATAATTCCTTGATGATGGTCTTTACTCTTCTTCTTAGGAGATCTTCATTGGATATGTATGCCACCCTGATACTCACCATATATACCTGCATTGACCTTTGCGTGGTACTCATCGTTAGTTTCTCAGAGGCAGTAGTTTACAAGCAAACACTGACAGAATAATTTAAACAAACATTAGTATTAGCTACTGTTTTATTCCCTAGGGAAGTTGAGACTTAAATATCAGAACATGAAGCTGTTTATGGGACTGCCCTCTGAATAGGCATTTTATATTTAATCTTGCTTTGTACTTGAGTATATCCCCTATTTGGTGGCTGTCCTCTCTAAATCGTAAATTCCCTTTGCTACCAGTCAGTTCCAAACAGTGAAATCAGAATATCTAACATCTCAAATTTAGGAGGTTGCCTCCAAGACGGAACCTCTGTGTCTCATGATCACTGTTCATAGTCAACTGTAATAAGGCAAAGAAACATAAAACAGAAGAGTCAACTTTCTTGAGCTTGGCTATTTGAGTTCCCCCTGCTTTAGCTGCCATGTGGGAATGGTTGGCATGTTGTCAGAAGCAGGGCAAGGGTGATCTTCTTCCCCATTACCGCCATGGATAGACTTGAATAGTCCTGTCTGCGGCTTGGGAGAAATTGAGGATTGGTTACTCCCTTTTAAAGGTGCCCAGTAAGTCAGTGGCTCTTCCTGCTCAACAATCAATAAGGGGATTGTTTTGTCATTTCCTAAATTTCTGTGTCCTTAAGTCCTGAGTGGCACATGGCTTGTTGGATGCATTTATAGCTTTTATCTCACTCAAGTGCAGAGCTGGTAAACATGGTTGTTAGGAAGCAAGCAGGGCAGTGCTAGTCATGCCCTAATAGACCATCATCAAGAATGTCCTTGATTTGTGTATAGAGGATTCATAAAGATTCTTTATAGAGGGAAGACCAGGCATATAGGTTGATGTTATTGATGTACTCTTGACCATTTTTTTTTTCAGTATTAACAAAGGCCAAGATTTTTTCCTTTACACTTTCATATTTTCTTCTCCTTCACATACCTTGTTTATTAGTCCCCTAGCACCCCCATAGAAATATCACTTCTGCCATAAGTCTGCTCTTTATATATTTGATCTTATCAGGTTGCCTTTTCTGACTCTTTTCTTTAGTAACATTTCTGTCACCACTAATAGGCACCTCAGGGAGTGATTCTTTAAGGTCCAAATGTGGTGGTTCTATTATTCTTAGTGGAGAAAACAGTCTATTAAAATGGATTTTGCAAATCTTGGATTTTTCTTCTCTTTGAAATACTCCTGTTTTTATCCTTGAATGCCTTTGTGATGACTTTGCTTAGTTGGATATCTTGCCAAGCTTTCTTGAAATTGGTTTTACCCTCTGTCTTATTAGATGATACTGTTCATAATTGTCCATCATCCTTCTTCATAAGGTTTTACAGATGAGTTTATATTCTAACCTGGTGTTGCCTTTGGCAACCATCTCTGCATTTGCCAAGTAAGCTAGATATTTGCTGACTAAGGTGCTTTTTGGATTCTTTTGATCTCCTTGTTTTGGCAGGTAATTTTTGGGTGAAATTATTATACATTTCTGTCACTCATTTCCCATTTTTGGTTTTCAGTAACTTAAATAATTCAAGGTTAAAACATTTTAATCGTAAGCAATATCTTTTTTCTCATTCTCATAGTTTACTAATTCTGATTTAAACTCTGACAAGTTGATGATCTGACTGTACACAGACAACTGATTTCAGGAATGATTCCTGCATCAATAAGAGGTCTTATCCTGTCTGCTAAAATAGGATCTGTTTAATAATCATTTACTTACTGCTTTAAAGTTTGCAGAATGCTTTCCATATGTTACTTCATTTGATCACTTTATCATGTTATTTGGTACATACCATGTTTAAACTATTATTTTTTTGAAAGAAAGTCTTGGTACTATGGAGGCAAGAGGCTATGTAATTCACAAGTAATTGGTCTCTGTTCTGGTTTTTTTTTTTTCCTGAACTATGCGTTCATAAAATTTTTGCCTCATCCTTACATTTTTCTGCCTTTGCATTGAAGTAACCAAGTATCAGTGTGTATGTTAGTTTGATTCGGAAGGTCTTAACAACTTCTTCAAAGAATTTCTCTGCTACTTTGTTTTCAAAAATTGGTATTGGTAAACTGCAAATATTTTTATGGTGGTCTTTTTGCAAATATTGATCGTTATTATAATGTTAATGATAAGTAAAGCTGCATCATGTAATATAAATAGTAATCCCTCATTGGAGAGAGGCCCTTATGACTATTTCCTCTAGTTCTATATTTGCTTAGCGTTTGTCTAAGGAGACTGTCTTCCTACACAAAGTAAAAGAGTGCATATCACACTTCTTCAGTTTTATATAGCAGATGAGAATTAAGTACAATGCAGCTAAGAACTCTTGAGGAATCTACGTGTTGGTGGTATATAACTAAAGGGTCAGGCTCTGTTTATGAAAGAACCAGTGCTTTAGACTGCCTTAAATTAGGATATATGGTCATATTGTTTAATTCTCATGTTTTTCTGTAATGTTAAGATGAAAGTTAATTGGCTTTTTTGAAGTCACTGTTTTCAAAGTGTGTATATATATATATATATATATATTTGTAATTCTATAATAGCTCCTCCAGTTGGATTTTGACTTGGAAAAGATTCCTTTGGAGAAACATGATGAAGAATACCGGAGTGAAGATATTCATATTTTATACATCAGAAAGAAAAAATGGTAACTTTAAAGAGTGGTTCTCGTTTCTTTGCAGAGCTCACTTTTTATAGAGTAATTTTTGTTTTGAGGGGAATATATTTTTGCCACATTTTTGACATGTGCATAAATGAGGTGGTATCGTACTTAATTTTATTTCTTAACGTGTTTTTACTTAGTTGACTAAATGAAACTAAATAAACCTCATTTGCTTTGTAGTTAAGATAACTGTTTTACATAGAATATATTGAGAAATTGTTCAATGGCCATTTTCTCCTGTAACACAAAGTTTTGTAAAGAAAGAAGCATGATTAGTGGGGAGGTAGCCTGTTGCTATTGCTTTCAAAGTCTGAGAAAAGAAAATCTCTTCCTTTTCTGTCCTGGGATTCTTGGTCTTTGTTGATGGTGGTACTTCCCAGCTAGTATATTCTTCTGAATTGTTAGCAGGAGTTTACAAAATGTCTAGATGTCAGTTAAATTTTGTTTTTTGTAAACATTATTGAATACTTGTTCTTTGTAAAAACTGTGTGGAAGTGGATAACTTGAAGTATTTGTAAAATTTCCCCATAAACAATAGTCTTGGAAAAAATAGTTTCCTGGCAAAACCAAATATAAAATGTTAGCCTTTCTCTGTAACCTTTTTCCATCTGAAAACTTGAGGAGGTTTTGATGACTTTTCCATATTAGGTGATGGATTTAAGATTAAGCAGCTTATTCCAAAGGGAATATCTGGAGCCTACTATCAGAAGGACCTTTTTCTTTCATTTGCCCTCAGGCTTCTTCATTAGGTCTTAGCTGACACTCACTATCATTGCTTAGTCCCACTTGTGCTACTCAGGATAAAGAGCTTGGTAATCCCTAGTTAAGGGGTTTGAAGTGAAGATTGAACCATTTTTTTAAATGATATTTTTAAATATAGTCAACTCTTGCCTTCTACCCATGAGTTATTCTTGGAACGTTTTTAATCCTGAATGTATTTACCTCTGTCATTGTATATCTGCTCCTTAGCTGCCACTTTCAGTTGGTTTGTGGACAGTGCAATAAATAAAGCACCTACTGTAGTCAAAACACTATGCCAATGAATTTAAATAGTCTAAATAAAACATAATCAGAAGGCAACTCTTTTGCCCAAAAATGCATTACAGAATCAAATATAAAATGTTCAGATTATCTCTTGTTATATTATCTGCAAGTTGCCTGTATAAGGTGTATAAAGCACTTAGAGCAAATAAAACAGTCTTCTTATTTGGAAACACCTAGGTGGCTCAGTGGATGGAGCACTGGACCTGGAGTCAGGAAGACCCGAGTTCAAATTTGGCCAAATACTTACTAGCTGTTATTAACAGTCAAACACTTACTGGCTCTTTGCCTTAATTCACTGGAGAAGGAAATGGCAAACCACTCCAGTATCTTTGCCAAGAAAACTCCATGGACAGCATTGCATGCTGTGATCCATAGAGTCACAAAGAGCTGGACATGACTGAACAGCAACATGTTGGTCTGTATTAATGTTGCCATAACCTAATGGTTTTTTTTTTTCCTCTGAGCAAGATATCATTTATTAGCAGAGACATTAACAGATAATAATTGTTAATAAAGGGTCAATGGCTTGCCTGTTTTCACCAAAGACCCAGAACTGAAGATGCAACTCACTTTTATAAGCATAGAACAAAGAACAGAAAAGATATCATATAATTAGCCAGCATCATGGGGGTGAAGGATCATGATTGGTTACATTGCTGAGATGAAGGGAAGAACATGATTGGTTGGAGGTTTGGTAATGAGGGGCTACATAGCTTAATGTTTTAAGGAGTAAGGTATGTGAAAAATGGCTGTTGAGAAAAGGTGATGACATGAGTAAATGGGGATTTGGACAATGTATTTTTTCATGTTTGGGGATTTTGTTTTGAAGCTAAAGGCTTGAAACCTAAGATTTTCTTATCTCTTTCTCTTTTCTTACAGAAATTACAGCATTGAAACCTTTCATCATTTTGTCCAAGTTTGCAGCAACTAGATAAGCTAAACATGTGAATTGGGCTTGTAAGAATAGCATGAAAAAGTTTTCATCACATATTTTCATGGCTTATCAGATACATTGGATTTGAATGATAGAAGTAGAAACATGGGTGCTACTTTGAATTCATAGAAGAATTCTACCAAAAGTCAACAAATGTGACCTGCCAGCATTCCTAAAGATATTGCATTCCCTGCATGTTGGATGAGACTGAATTGTAAGCAGAGTTGTTGTTTAACCCAACATGAAGTTCTGTTTTAAAGACATGGATAATGTGTTGGAAAAAGTTATATGCTAAAAGAATAACTTGTGCTTTCAAGAAACTGAAGAGCATTGATTTTTACTTCTTGAAGGGACAATTTTTAAGCCTCATATCTGTACTTCAAATTGTATTCAATCTAGATAAATATAAAAGAGGATCTCATGAGTTTGAGTTTTGTCCATAATAAAGTCAGTAGTCTTTGTTTTATGTATATTCCCTTTTTAATTACATTTTAAGACAGGTTTAATTCTTGAAAATGTCTCCTTGGTTCAAATGAAAACTAAGCAGTTTCACATTTGTTTTTATAAAACAAAATTTTTTTGTTACTATAAATTTGAGAAATATAAACATTTCCTTATTCAAAGAAGTACAGAAAAAGAGGATTGTTTATGACACTGTGAAATTTGATTATGTGGATAGTTATTTTTAAATGTAAAACATGGTAGTTCCAACACTACCCTGCATGTCTGTGTCTGCTTCTGAAACTTTTTCTATATTTTATGTATTTTTTTCAATGTTTCATTAATGCTCTTTTCAGTTATTTTCTTTTTTAATATCACTACCTCTCCATCCCCCCACTAATTAAAATTATTAAATACATTCAATGTTTCATTGACTCTTTGTTTACTTTTCTGTTATCACTGTACTACAGAATTAAATTAATTTTTAAAATCTTTGTAGCAAGTATACTAAAGCAAAACAGATTTGTACACTATGTCTAATAACGTATGTCTCAATACTTTTCCCTTTTTTCCCCTCTCTCCTCTTTGAAAGGCAGCTAGAGTAATAAAAGGAATCTTGATTAGTGCTGCTAATGTGTAATTGAAGGGGTTCATTTGTACTCTTCTGCCCCTCCTCTCTTCATCTGCCCTGATTTCTAGTTCTTATTTTTTTTAATCCTTTCTTTATGAATTGATGTCCAAAATTGATGTTTTGCTTGTGACTGTTGCTTTCCCAGATCTATCCATCATAAATCCCACTCTCCCATTTCCCATTCCAAGTTGCTTCTTTGTTGTAATTTACTATAGTTCTACACCAGATGCTGTGTGTATTTCTTTTTTTAACCCTCTTTTTGTTCAGTTCAGATAAGAGTGAGTGATCATGAAGTGCTTGTTTTCCCCATCCCTTCCTCCATTTGTGTAAACTCTTCTCTAGTATCCCAATTATGTGAAATAGTAAGCTCTTGCTCTTTCTTAATTTCTTCCCTAGTGTATTAATTTCTTACCTTTTTCTTTCCTCTCTTAAACAATAAAAAAGAACAAAAATATCCAGGCCCTGGTTTGTGAATTTCTTAACTCCCTCTGTGATCCTTGTCTCTTCTTCCTCTATTAGAATGTAAGAATTTCGTTTAACCCCATCCAGTTGGTCAAATGCATTGTCCTATCCAGGTTTCTCTTAACTTGTGTTTGCATTTCAAAGTTCCTACTCCACTCTGAACTTTTCATCAAAATTGCTTGTAAGTTCACTGTTCCATTAAAGGCCCATTTTTCCCACTGTAGGAATATACCCGGTTTTATATGGCAAATTATTCTTGTTTGTAAGCCTTTGTCATGTCTTCTGAGATGTAGTCTTCCAAGAGTTTCTCTCTTTTATAGGAGTTGTAGCATAGTTTTATGTAACCTTTACTGTGTTTCCTTGATGTTTGAACTCTACTTTTCTTTAACTTGAAAGCTCTAGAATTTAGCTATGACACTTTTGAATGTTTTCACTTTGGAGTTTCTAATAGATACACACAAGTGGTTTACTTTTGTAGTTTCTTGCAATATAACTAAGTTTTTTATTTGGTTATGCTAGTTAGGAAGTCCACTTCTTAAATTCTCTCGACTTTTTTTGTAGGTAAGTTTTTTTTATAGTAGATACTTTATATTTTCTTTTTCATTTTTTGGATTTTGCTGTAATATTTCTCTTTGTCTCGTGGAGTCATTGAGTTCTGATTATTCCATTCTGTTTTTCTAAGGGGTTCATTATTTGAGTAAGGTTTTCAATTTTCCTTTCTAAATTACTTATTCTTAAGCTATATTTTCCTTCCAGAGTTCTTATTTCAGTTCCAGTTCTACATTTTGGTTCTCTATTTCTTTCAGTCATTCTTACATTTCTTGTGGCTGATGCAGTTTTTCTGTGAGATTCTATTTGTACTTTCACAAGTTACTCTTGTTATTTGGGCTTCTCTTAAGTTACAGTATTCATTAATTGCATTTATTGATTTTTTTTGTTTTTGTTTTTGTGGTTTTGAAAGATTAAGAAAAAGAAAAAATGGAATATGTTAGGGCATAAAGGAAGAGAAAGAGGTGGAAATTTACTGTTTCACACAATAGTGTACAAGATGAACAGTACATGAACATGGAGGGAATGGGCATCACACAAAATGAGTGGCACTTTCATCTGAACAAGACAAATGGGCCTTAAAAATAAAAATATACTTAAGATTCTGAGGCTCATGGTTGGGGAGAGGAGGGAGGGAAGGTAAGAAGACTTGAAAAGTAGGAAGGGATTGGTTGTGGATGGCTTTAAAAGCCAAACAGAAGATTTTATATTTGATCCTGGTGGCACTAAGGTGCCGCTGGAATTGATTTAATGGGGGTGGGAGAACAAGTAACATGGTGAGACATTTACTTTAGAATTTGAGAGCATAGTGGAGAATGGTCCAGTGTGGGGAAAGAAGAGTCAGGGAGATCAAAAGTCAGGATTCTTCAGTAGTCTAGGTGTGAGGTGATGAGGACTTGTACCAAGGTGGTAGCAGTGTCAGAGGAGAAAAAGAGGTATATACAAGAAATATCACAAGGGTAGAAATAATAGGACTTGGCAACTTATTGGATGTGAGGGGTAAGAAAGATTAAGGAGTACAGGATGACATCTATGTGACTGGGAGGAAAATGGGACCCTTGACAATACTCTATCCTAAGGTCCCTTTTTTTTTTTCACATGGAGGATTCTCAGTGTTAGCTTCCAAGTCTTATGTGATCTTTATTATAGGTTCCTTTGTGACTCAACTCCTTTTTTTCTAAACGCTTGAATTATTTTTAATTGGATTTTGGCTATGATCTTCCTAGGAGTTTTCATGTGGGGTTTCTTTCAGGAGGTGATTGATGGATTCTTCCTTGTTTCACTTTGCCCTGTGGTTCTAATAGAACTGGGCAGTTTTCATTTATGATTCCATGAAATATAATATCCATGGTTTTTTTTGGTTTGGTTTTGTTTTTTGGTTCATGATTTTCAGGTGGTCTGATGATTCTTAGATTCTCTCCATCTGTTTTCCAGGTCAGTTAATTTAAAAAAAAGCAGTTTATACCTTATTTATTTGCTAATATTTCGATTTTGTGATATTATTTCTTGTTGTCTTATGGAGTCATTGCTTTCTGTTTGGCCCATTCTAACTTTTCAGAGAATATCGTTCTTAGGTAAGGTTTAGTATTTTCTCTCCTAAACTATTAATTCTCATTCATGTTCTTTTCTCCCTAGTTCTAATTTCGTGTAAGATTGCATTTTATACCTCTTGCTTGTGTTTAAGGCCCATTTGTCTTGTTCAGATGAAAATGACACCCATTTCATGGATGTCTACTTCTGGGAACTCTTACTGTTTTTCTGAGTTTACCCCTTGGGCTTCTCTTAGGCTGTGGGATTTCTTTATTGTACTGTAGATGTTCTCTTTATGTCTACAGGCTTAGTTTCTGGATTGAGACTTTTTATTTGTATCAGACTCTGCTCATTGCCATTTTCTTAGTCCTATATGTGGTTATTTAGGCCAATCAATCAACCAATGTTTTATAAAGCATCTACTTCATGCCAATTACTATACTAAGTACTGGGGATACAAAAAAGACAGTCCCTGCTCTCAAGAAGCTTGAAATCTAATAGGAAAACAGCAAGCAAAGAAATATACACATAAGCTATATACAGGATAAATAGGAAATAACAGAAAGAAAGCACTAGAATTAAGAGGGGTTGGGAAAGACTTTCTGTAGAAAATGGGATTTAGTTGGGACTTGAAGGAAGTTAGAAAAGTAGAGATGAGGAGGGAGAACATTTCAGGCCTGTGGGACAGTCAGAGAAAATGCCTGGAACTGAGAGATGGAGTGTCTTGTTCATGGAACAGCCAGGAGGCCAGTGTCACCATACAGAAGAGTAAGTGTTGGTTAGTAAGGAATAAGAAGATTAGAAAGGTAGGAGAACTAGAAGAGAGTGTTGTCCTAAAGAGAAGAAAGTATCAAGGAGAAGAGAGTGATCAGTAGTGTCAAAGGTGGCAGAATTGAGGATGAGGACTTAGAAAAGGCCATTGGATTTGGCAACTGAGAAATCATTAGTAACTTTGGAGAGAGCAGTTTTGTGGAAAACCAGATCCCAACTACTCTAGGAATCTTTGGGTTTTTGTTTCATTCTCCTGTTGGCTCTGCTTAGGCCTCTACCCCTTCTCAGTCAGTCAACCACAAGCATTTATGAAGCCATTACTATGTTCCAGTATTCTGAGTCTCCTTCTTCAGTCCCTTGTAATTGTGAGAGATCCCAACCAGATAATGCTCATTTTGCTGATTGCAGGCCTCCTTCAATACCCCAGGTGTTTTGCTGCCCAGATCTTGCCTTGGCCCCACCTTTGCTGTTGCTCAGGTGTGAGCTGCCTCGGTCCTTCATTGGGCATGGGCTGCCTGGACTTTGATCTGGCCGTGACTTTCAGTGTGGTTCAGGCACAGGATTCCTGAGCATTGTGTTTCCTGGGTGTAGTTATGGCCCTGTCTTCTGTGGTTCAGTTGGAGCTTCCTGGCTCTGTCTCCAGCTGTGGCTCCAGTGTGACTCTAGTCTGGGAAATGCCTTATCTAGTTACTGCTCTGGTCCTGTCTCAGTGGCTCCGGACACCACCACTCCGGACATCTCTTCTAAGAGGGCTGACTACTGTTTCAGGTCACAGTTCGGGTGGGGTGATCTGGGTACTTTATTGTCTGGATGTGACCTGCGTGGGTGCTGGTTTAGCCCTGCCTCCTTCTTTGGATCTGGGTTGCTTCTATACCTTCTGCATACTCTGACTTGTTTATTCTTAGTTTCCACAGGTTTCTGGTAGATTTTTTTTGTACAATCCTGAACTGGATGGGGGAGCTTATTGTCATTCCTCTTTGATCTTATCTTTGGTCCTTCTGGTACATTTTTAGGGATCTACTAAGGCATTTGTGGGGGATCTGAGCTGAACTAGGCCCTGATACATCACCATTTTAGCTAGAACTCTAATAACAGGAAGTACATTTGTGGGGTTGGTGAACTAGTTTTGGGGGCATCAAGGTGGCACAGTGGATAGAGTAGTGGGCCTGGAGTCAGGAAGGCCTGAATTCAGATGTGGTCTCAGTCACTTATTAGCTGTGTGAACCTAGGCAAGACACTGAACCTCTAATTCCCTCAGTTTCCTTATCTGTAAAAATGGAGCTAATAATAGCACCTACCTTCCAGGACTGTTGTGAGAATCAAATGAGATATTTTAAAGCATTTAGCATAGTGCCTGGCACATAATAGGTGCTATATAAATGTTAATTATTTTTATTAAAAGATTAGCTCTATAGAGGTAAAACCTGAGTGTACAAGCTGAAGTTGGGGCAGTAGTCCAAGGGTAGTACATGTTCAATAACTGTAAC